TTAATCAATGTGTTCCATAAAAGAAACCCCTTGGTTTTGAAATGAATGCTTTCATGAGTTTAATTTAACAGCAGAAGCTTAATAGGGGAACAATTCTGCGCTGTTTAAATAATTCACAGCTGCAGGGATGTGTTCGATTTTGAAAACACAACCAAGGTGTGGGCAGGGCTCTGAACGGTGCGGTACTGGAAACCAACCCCTGCTGGGTTTGTTGGTGCCGTCCTGTAGTCTTAGTTCAAGTCCCCCGTGAGGACTTACTGAAACCCTGTCTCAAACTAAAGAGAGAAAAAAAAGAAAGAAAAGAAAAGGCGGAGGATGTGGCTCATTGCTAAGCCTGGGACACCTGGGAAGAGGAAGATCATTTGAGAAAATGCCTTGGTCAGTTTGACCTGTTGGCAAGCCTGTGGGGCATTTTCTTGATTAATGATTGATGTAGGAGGGACCAGCCCCCATGTGGGCAAGGCCATGACCGAGTGGGTGGATCTGGGTTGGCCACTGTGGTTTTCTGTGTCTCTCCCCTGAGGGCAGGAGCCCTGCAAATCTCCTTCACTGTATCTTGTGCCAAGAGCAGTGCCCAGATCTCAAAAAGAACTTTGTCAGACGGAGAAGTTGGGTTCATTTGACAACAGAGACCACCAGAGAGTAGTGAGTTCCCTACCCTGGTGGCCTGTACGCTGCTTCTAGAGACAAATGCCTCCGGCCTGTGTTCCCTGCCCCTTAAGACCCCGAAGGACCCCTATTCTTCCTCAGGCATTCCTGTAGTTCGGAAAAACAAGAGGTAGCAGCATCCTATGTCTGAGCTATGCAGATACCCACCGCAGAAGGAAGGACAACTATTCATTATCGTCTTCAGACATTAGACGGAGAGCCACAAATAGACATCTCTAGCAACTGCTCCTGCCTGCGGGGCTCTCACTTTCCTCCCTCATCGCATCTCGCCACCTCCTGCTCGGAGAATTGGATATTTGCCAGTCGCTTGGTTATTTCCTGGGGGAATTAATGAGAAGGTGGGCCGTCCAAATGCTGGCAGGATGTTATTCTGAAAGCACGGATGTCCCCTCCATCTGAGCACCAACGTCACATGCACAGAGACTGGCCTCCTTTCAGAATGGGCAGCAAGCAGACAAAAGAGCCATGAGTGACGAGGGCCTCCGGCTGGGAGGCTCCCTAGCAAAGCTGGGGCTTCATATTGGGTGCAGCACACTGACTTCCTTCCCTGTGCATTTGGCCAGAGTCCGTCTCAATCCATGCCCAGCTCAGGACCTGTGCGAGAATAACTTCCTCCCAGCCTTGGCTCCTGACAGCTGTGTTCATGCCCTGCTCTTTCTCTTAGCTCATCCCTCCTTCTCTTTCCTGACCATTTCCTTCTCCCAGCAAAGCTCCATGATGTGACTCTTCAGACCAGCTCCTGGTAGGATGGGCAGGGAGTGATTGGTCTGAATGATATAGAAGAAACTGGAAATAATATATAACTGGATTATATATATATATGGATATACATATATAATAATATATAACTGGAGATATATATCTGGATATACATATATAATAACATATAACTTGATGTTATAAAGAATATGCTAAGAAAATACTAAATAACATAAAGTGGAATTTAGCTAGAGGAGTGTTCAGTGCTGAGTAGTATATACCGACCAAGACTGTCATAGAAATGCCAGGAAGGAAATTCTGTGCCTCTGACATAACTAAGCTTTAAGTTTGCCAAGAGCATGCTTCTTAAGATCGTGTTGTAAGTTCACTAAGATTGCTGCCAATTAGACTCTATTCTCATAGCACAAGGAGACACCCTTGGCTCATTGCCAGACATCAGACCCACCCCCACATCGAGGAACCTCTATAGGGCACTTCAAAGGGGACAATACCAGGTCAGGGCTGCCTCAAGTCCTGGTCCATCGTTAAGCCCTTTGCCTCTTACTGGGAAGAACATAATTCTGCCAGGTGGGCAGGGCAACTCTGGCACCGGCCCAGGAAAAGCAGCCTTGGTCTGTCTTGGGATAACTATGGCAGTATTTCTACATTGCAAATCTCCCCATTTGTCTCGACAACCAGACCTCAGAGCTCTGTCTCTATGGAGCACATGTAACTGCTCCAAGTGTAACTTGGGGCCATGCACCTATATAAACAGGGATTTCCGTTCATGGCCAGTTCCCTCTTGTGTATTAGCCAGAACAGCTCATGTGTTTTTATTAAAGAGTTTTGGGGAAGGCAAATTATTTCTTCAGAACTAACCCAGAGCTTTGCGTCACTCCTCAGCCACACCAGCCTTCGGGAGCATTTGTTCCTGATGCTTAGTCACCTTCCTTACCTGCCCTGGCTCCCCCCAGGGGGGGCTGCACGGTGTGACTTGCTCCAACCTCTCTGATGGGTCTTCCTTGCCCCCTCCCCCTGGTGGTCCCTTTGACCTTGAATGTGTTGGAGTGGTCTTAACTTCTGTATCCTTTTTTTCCTTCCTCTTTGCCTTGCTGATCTGATCTTACTTGGTAGCTTTATATGCTACCGAGATGCTCAGGTCTCCGCTGTTACCTCCAGTTGGGTTTCTACCTGTCCCCATGGCCTTGACACTTGTGTGTCAGAGCTAAATCTTCACAAGGGCAATGAAACCCTCCTGTCAAACCAGATAGCAGCTCCCAACTTGCCTGCTTCTCGAGCTTAAAAGCCCAGACTCATCCACAAGGCTCACACCCCAGCTCTGCCTTCTGAAAGCATGGGAACCTGCTGGCTTCTCTCCTCTACCCTGGCTCTCTGCATTTGGCTTTTCCCCAGCACTCCGGATTTCCATCAATGTGAAGCCACAGCTCACCACCCCTAGCCTCCTAACTTCCTGAGTCATCCTGCCTTATACTGGAAGCTCAAGTCCTTACCAAGGTCCCCAGAGTCCTCTCCAGGGTCTCCCCGTGTCTCCTCTCATGTTACCTCCCTGCCCCCTCCTCCCCTCTTCATGTAATCATGCTGCCCACCTTGACATTCCCCTGGCGATGCACCCCAGGACCTTTGCACTGGACATTCCTCTTCTTGGATACCGTACTCCAAGATCCCTACTGGACTCACGCCTTTGCCAGCTTTAATTCTGCTCACCATCCTGGTGTGGCCCTTCCCCACACTGCAAACCCTTGCCTCGCTCTACTCGGTCTTCTCAGAGTGCCCGTTGTCTCCCATCACACAAGGTTTCATTAGTTATTGTTGCTTTTCTGTCCCCTACTGTTGGGATGGAGGGTCCTCCAAGGGTATTCAGTAGGCAGTCAATGTGCATTTGCTGGATCCTAAGTAAACAGGCAAGCGTGTGTAAAAAGGTCTGTGCACAGCTGACCCTGGTAGGCATGTCATGGTGCTAGTTGTCAGGTGTGGGGATCATGGCTTAGCTTTCTGACCCTCAGCGCTGTCATCCATAGTAGGGGATAACAGTGGGACCAACTTCTATGCTTAGCTGCCAAAAAGAAGCGAGGCAATGATGAGTGCAGTCCCTGTGCCATGCTGGGAATAAAGCATGCCTGCGTTTTCCTGTGATAGTGACCTCACCGGGCTTCTCATGGTGCCACCACAGCTGGGGGAGCATGAAAATGCAACCTGTGTAGTGCTTGAAAATGCAACCTGTGTAGTGCCCGAAAATGTAACCTGTGTAGTGCCTGAAAATGCAACCTATGTAGTGCTTGAAAGTGCAACCTGTGTAGTGCTTGAAAATGCAACCTGTGTAGTGCTTGAAAATGCAACCTGTGTAGTGCTTGAAAATGCAACCTGTGTAGTGCTTGCTTGGGACTTCAGGAGCATCTTTCTCTGCTGAGGCAGCTCCTTCCTCACCTACCCATCCACAGGAACATGGCCGAAGCTCTCTGTTCAGCTGTGATGCAATGCTAGTCACAGGCCACCCGACCAGCTTCCCAGGGCTGTCACTGATGGTTAAGGGCTGGAGACTTACCATAGGGAAATGAGGACCGAGGAACAAGGACTAAAGCGATCATAGAGGAAACCCAGGTAACAGGCATCCACAGGTATGCTGGCTTTTGGTATCCAGCACGGTGCCCAGGGTGTGGATAGGTAGATGGAAGGGTCCAGATGAATGAATGGGTGACGTATTGGTCACTTTTCTCACTGGGGTGGCAAAATGCCCAGAACGAGCAACTTAGGGCAAGAGGAACTTATTCTGGCTCACAGCTTAAGGACACAGTCCACCGTGGAGGGAAGGCCTGGTGGCAGGAAGATGAGGCAGCTGCTGGTCACTCTGCCTCTTCAGTCAGGATGGAGAGAGAGAGATGAATGCTGGGTCTCAGCTCACTCTCTTTCTCACACGTGATCTTAGTCAAAAGACTACAGAGTGATTAGTGTCTCCTTTTTGTTCAGTCTGGTATCCCCAGCACGTGGGATGGTTCCACACACATCCACGATGGGACTTCCTTCCTCAGCTAAATCTTCATGGAAACACCTTCATTGGTACAGCCAGAAGTGTGTTTCCATGTCGATTCTAAATCCAGTCAAGTTGACGGTGAAGACTGATCATCACAGACAAACGGATAGGAGATGGGTGGTGGGCAGATGTGTGTAGATATATAAATATGTATGTCTCTAAGTACGGGTAGGTGATAGTGTAGTGGTTGAATAAGAATCTCAAAGGGTCTGGAGAGATGGCTCAGTGGTTAGGAGCACCCGCTGCTCTTCCAGAGGACCTGGGTTCAATTCCCAGCACCCACATGGCAGCTCATGACTGTCTATAACTCCAGTTCCAGGGATCTGACATCCTCACACAGACATACATGCAGGTAAAACACCAATGCACATAAAAAAATAAAAATAAATGAATAAAAAAATGACCCTCACAGGCTCATAGATTTGAATGCTTAGTCACTTAGGGAGTGACTCTATTTGAAAAGGATTGGGGGTGTGGCTTTGTTGGAAGAAGGGTGTCACTTGGGGTTAACTTTGAGGTTTCAAAAGCCCATGCCAGGCTGAGTCTTGTCTGCTCTCCCTTCCCCTCTCTGCCTTTGGATCAGGATGTAGTTCTCAACTACTCCAGCATCGTGTCTCCTGCATGTCACCAGGCTTCCTGCTTAATGATAATGGATTCAACCTCTGAAACTGTAAGTAGGCCTCCAATTAAATGCTTTATCTTATAAGAGTTGCCTTGGTCATGGTGTCTCTTCACAGCAATAATACAGTGACTAAGACAGATAGATATATGGTTGGATAGGCTGGTGGATGGATGGATGGGTGGGTGGGTGGGGTGGATATGGATAGATGGATGGGTAGGTAGGTGGGTGAGTGGATAGATGGATAGATGGATGGATAGATAGATAGATAGATAGATAGATAGATAGATAGATGGATGGATGGACGGGTAGGTAGTTGGGTGAGTAGATAGATAGACAGACAGACAGACAGATAGATGGGTGGGTGAGTGGATAGATGAACGGATGGATGGTAGACGGATAAATGGAAATACATATAGTCTAGGTAAGAATAGGAAAACTAGTTTGTCTTATCCATCAAGAGTCATTAGACAAACAAGGATGACAACGATACTGTTTTGTCTATAGGCTTGGCTGGTATCTGTTCTCTGTTTTTGTGTGATGGTGGACACATTGCTTTCCCTTCTTGATCCTCTATTTCCCCATTACCAAATGAGATGTTTGGACTGGCTGCTCATTAATGTTCTCTCTCCAGATCCCAGTCTCAATGAATCCATGATTTTCTGTGTGCTGCATAGACCTGCAGGGCTGTGGTAATTTCCAGAGGGCCCCATGGTCTTTGATACCCTGTTCAGTCTTACTACTTCCTCATAAAAAGGGAAACTCTGTTTCTCTGTCCCATGAATCTGAGCTGACCCCAAGGCTGAGTGACCCTCCTCCAACCTCTCTCTTTGGAGTGGTTCTTCTTAGAACCCAGCCGTCATTACACAAGAGGGTTCAAGTTGCCCTGAAGAGAGCTGAGGTCCTATCCCATAGTGGCCAGCATTAGCCGCTAGCCAAGGGAGGGCATGTGGAGCCTCACGCCATCACACCCCAACCAACACAACACAGAGCAATAGGAGTGTAAGCACAGCCCACGGCTTTGCCACAGAACGTGGTGATGGGTGACTGTCTGGTCTGTGTCATGCTGACTCAGAAGAATGCTCCATAGCCAGTACTTTCTAACGAATGGAAATTTATGTTTCTGCAGTTCTGGTGCCCGGAAGTCCAAGATGGAGTCCAGCATCTTGCTGCACCCTTGAATGGCAGAAGAGAATATAAAAGCACCCCTGCTTGCCTGGACCTTTTAATGGTGGCGTGAGTCCGCTCCTGAAGGTACAGCTGCTGAGATCTAAACATGTTCTAGAAACCTTCACCTCACAGTATAGTCACTCTGGGGACCAATTTCTCAACTTAGGAATTCATGGGGCATTTCAAACCAAAGCACCAGTTTTACCTGGAGTGACTCGCAGCACAGGGGGAGACTCTACACCACTGCCCAGAAGGGACCTTGGCTGAAAACTGGATTTTCAAGTAACATAAACAAACTAAATGCATCCATAGATTTTACGCAAATGCCAAATGGGTTAACATATGCACCGTTTGCTTTCTTGGCCGCCTTTTTGGTTCTGTTTTCCTATTTTGTTTGGCTCCTTTTCCTCTTTCCTACCCAGCCTATCCTTGGGACAACGAAGCTCTGGTTTATTCTGCTGAGACTTTTGGCACTGTACACTGGTGTTCAAAGATGCATGTAGAAAGATGCCAGGGGCCACAGTGCTGCGAAAACGCGACCAACAGTGCGCGGTCTGCCGTCTCACGGCTTCTCTGGCTTCTCTGCTTTAATTAACAAGTCCCTGCGACAGTCCTCCTAAAGCCACCTCAGGACACCCTTCAACGCAGCCTTCTAAACAGTTGCAGGGAATTCCTTGTCCTTCCATCAGTCAGCAGTGGCCCGAGGCAATGTGGATGCCTGTGATAGTAGATTGTGCAAGCCCCAGGGAGCTTATGAGTCGGCTATTAGAGTCAGCAAAGGTTCAGAATGGAAACTTTCCATAGACACATTATATCCGCCCCACCCCACCCCACCGCCCGCAGCTCAGGGACCCTAGGGAGTGGGAAGATGGGAAGATGGAGGTCAGGGAGGACCGGAATGAAACTGTGTCTTCTGGAAATGACAGGGACCGCTGCACACACGGACCTGCAGCAGCTGTGGCCGTCTGCCCAAAATCAAGTCAATTAACGCTGAAGCACTGAGGAAAGGAGCTCAGAGCCCCCACCCCTAGCTGAGGATCAGACTCTCGAAGGCCTCTGGGAAGGGGGGGGGGTCAGTTTTCTTTCAGGGTGTCACTGGCCCCCGGTAGTGACACTCCTGTGGATGGCCGCACGTGTAAGAGCATACGTGCAGCTCAGGGGATCTTCCAAAGAAGAGAGAGAGCATGAGGTTTGGAATGTGCAAGGAGTGAAAGTGGATCTGTATGGGAGGAGTTGGAGAAGGACCGGGGAAGAATAGGATCAAAATACATTGTACACAATTCTCAAAGAATGAATAGCATTTAATAAAACCTTTATATCAAAAACAAAGACAATCCATGCTCAGAATATTGATTGTGCCTCCTTTGCCATTGTAGGTGTTCTGGAAGTTGTTGACTGTTGCTACAGCACATGACCCAGTGGCGCACGGCACGTCTCTCCCAGGATAGTACTCCAGGATGACGTGCTGGCATTTCGAGTTGGCTATGGGCCGTGGGTGCCCCACGGAGCCTGGCAAGCGCTGCACCTCAGGGCCAGATGGATGGTTTTGTTGACTGTCTAGACTGGAGCAAGTCGCAGAGGGAACATTACCAACCCGGTCAACTTCAAGGTGCGTCATGTCTGTGGCTACTGTGTCGTGGAGAGCAGGATGGAGCTGGAGAAATGTTCTTCTGAGATCTGGAAACTCTTACTCCATCCAGAAAGAGGAGGCTCATGCCAAGGAGGGAGGCATCTGCCCACACCATTGCTCCACTTCTGTCTCACTGTAAGAGTGAAAGTCACACTGACTGTTATCACGCTGAGTGTTCTCGATGAAAAAATGTTTGTTAGTTGCTCACACATTCTGGAGCCTATCCCCTGTAGATAGAACACACACACACACACACACACACACACACACACACACAGTCAATTTGTTCTCACCTAATACAGAATTCCATTCTGTTCATGCGGGATCAGAGGGGGGGGTGCTCCTTTTGGAATGGATATTTTCAGGTGTTTTCTAGACTCTTCTTTAGAGTTCGGAACAGGCGGCCCTACCCACAGACTTGGCCACAGAGGGCTTGTAGAACGTTCCTGCCAGCCTGGAGGGTGCCCAGCACAGCCTCATCATCTCACCAGATCCTCGTCTCACGGCAGCTTCTCATGATCAATGCCTCTCCGTGTCCCTCGGGCTTTCCCTTGCTCCCTTCTGTCAGTGTGTCCATGTTTGCAGTTTGTTAAAACCAAGACTTGCTTGTGCTTTTGCACTCCGAGTCTCTGCTTTATACGCTGATGTCGACTGTGCCACCTTCTATCAGGTAGAAACGGCATTTTTTTTTTTTGAATGTTTATCCTGTCTCCTGTAGCTTCAGGGCATCTAGTATTGGTTAGGAATAGTTCCCCATGTCCTGCAATTTTATTTTTCTCTGCAGGATTTCTCGCTTCACTTCCAGCCTCTCTTACCTTTCTGTTGTTGTGAGAAAACAGCAGGACCAAGGCAACTTCTGAAAGAAAGCGTTTAACTGGGCCTATGGTTCCAGAGGGTTAGAGTCTGCACTGGCCAAGTGAAGGCATGCTGCAGGAACAGTTGAGAACTTAGTTCTTGTTCCACAAGTAGGAGAGAGAGAGAAAGAGAGAGAGAGAGAGAGAGAGAGAGAGAGAGAGAGAGAGAGAGAGAGAGAGAGAGAGAGAGAGAGAGGAAGACAGACAGAACTGGGATTGGTGTGGGCTCTTGAAACCTCAAAGCCCCACCCCTAGTGACACACCTCTGCAACAAGGCCACACCTCCTAATCCTTCCCAAGCAGTTCTACCGACTGTGAACCAAGTGTTCAAACATATGAGCTCATGGAGACAATCTCATTCAAACCAGAACAGATTGTTGAGGAGACAAGACAAAGGGTGCCCAGCTCCCCCAGCCCAGGGCAGGGGTGGCTTCTTACTGATCCACACTAGAGTCTGCATGAATGATGGGTGTGGTTTTACTATGCCTGCCTATTGAACTTAATTTTATTTTCAATTATTTTGAATTCTCCACCTACACAATCATAACACACTTTCAGGACACAAGCAGAGTGCAGCCAGATTCTTGGCTCCAGCCCAGTTTCTGGTAGAGTCTTCTCTCCTCTCTGACACCTCGAGAGTGTAGCCTTTATTTTTTAACATACTATTTTTTATTGATTATTTGGTAATTTCATTTAATGCACCCTGATCAAACTCACTCCTCATTCTTCCATGTCCACCCTCCCACTTGGTGCCTTCCCCAAAGAAAAGAGAAAAAAAAAAAAGAAAAAAGAACACACCAAGTCCAGCTTGTGTTGCCTGTATACTCACTCACTGGAGCATGGTCAAACTTCAGTGGCTAGCTAGCTCCTCAAAGCAAATGGAGTCCTTCTCCACCCCTGATCCTGCCAGAGGCAGGAACAACTGTGAAAAACTACACTTCAGCATTTTTATCACAATTCTTAAGGCTTCTCTTCAATAGCTTCCTGTCTCTAGACAAGTTCACTTTTTGGGAGTGAGGGACAAAGCTGTTGGAGAAACCATCCTTGCTTCTCATTCTCAATTATGAGTCTGGCATCATCAGTGCCACTGCAAAAGAAGCTTTCCTGCCCCCAACAGTCAGCCTCATCATAGATCATGGGCTTCCACACAGGTTCTGGTGGTAGCAGGGACCAGAGACATCCACACAGTCTCCAGTGGTAGGACACACAGACCACGGTCTTCAACATGGCCTTCGGCGGCAGTACAGACACTAAACATCTATAGCCTTTACTGTTTGTGTTTTTCTTGGCCTTCTGATCTAAACTCCCACGAGACTGGTCTGTTAATCTTTGCTCAAAGCATTCTCGGGCTTCTTCAACTCTCAGCTCCGACCTCTTCCCTATTCTTTCCACAAACCAGATCTAAAGGCTTAAGAACCATGTGGTCAGGTTTGGTACAACAGCTCTGATTCTCTATTCCACTTCTTTACATGGGTCACCTTCTCTGTGAACAAACACAGCCAGCAAATCCAGGAAGAAAAACTTATTTTGGCTTATGGGTTGAGGTGATCCAGTCAGTCAGGATGGGGAAATGGCAGCAGGTGGCTCCTGGGTGATGGGGGCTTGTGACGGACATCAGCTGACACCTCAGCGGGACAGGGGACAGAAGACTGGAAGCAGGGCCAGGTTGTATGTAATCTTGGAGGCCTGTCCTCCCTTCCCTAGGCCTACTTCCACCAAAGCAATCCCACCAGCTAAAGGTGCTGTAACTTCCCCAAACGGGGTGAGTCATCAGCCAGGAACTAAAGGTTCAAAACACTGAGCCCTGGGGAGACATTTCACTTTCAAATATCTCTGTCACTTATAAATAATAAAAATGTGTGGAGCTTGACACATTGCCCAACCGCACTACAGAGGCAACTGTGGGACTGGATCTGAAGGCCGAGATCAGGGAGCCTACAGACACGGTGCTAGGCGGAGGCAACCTCCATCTCTGAGTTGTGCGCCCTGGGAAAGCATGCTGCGTGCTCACACAGTGAAAGGGACAGAGGCCATAAGGGACTTGGCAGAAGAGTCAGAGAATAGAGTTGGATACTTCATGAAGTCCTTTTTGAGGTCACTAATGCCATTCATGTGGGCTTCACTGTCTCAGCTTCGTCTCTAACAGGACCTGCCTCTCGGTGCTGTTGAGTTGGTCCCCCAGATCCCTCCGTGGGAGTCTCGGGAACTCAGGTCCACCCAACCACAGCGGTCTCATATCTTCTTATGCTTGTTTCTCATGTGGTCCCGGGACTGTGTGTGGGTCTTATTTTCATCCTGAAGAGTTTTGCCGAGGATTGGTCGGATGGATTAGCTCCCGTTGTAAACCATCACTTGGCCTTGCGGCCTCTGTGTTGTGTTTGGTTTTTTCTCCCGTGGTTGTGCGTTCATCACCATTGCTCTTTTCCTTCTGTTTTGTGTTTCTCTTACTAGTCTATTTTTGATCTGTGGGAGGTGTGGCTCGCTCACTAGCCTTCAGCTAGCTCCAGCATCAATTTGGGCACAGTTGCTGATCATGAGCTGTCTGCTTCTTAGTCATTCAGACCTTTTCCCTCGCTCTAATCCCCCATCCCTTCACCTCCCTTCACCTTCCTGCCCCTTCCTTCCCCTCCCCTTCCTTTTCTTGCACTCCCCTCTCCTCTTCCCTTGCTTGCTCCCATCAGTACAAGCTCTGGTGGGTTTGCTGCTTTGGGTTAGTGACCATGGTCCATTTTCCTGTCCTTTCTCTTTACTTTCCCCATATATACTCATGCTATGCATAACTTTTATAAATACCTATTTAAACAAATATTTCAACAACATTCTCATTTATTTATTTTCTGTGTGCATGTATGTATATGTCACGGTACCTGTGTGGAGACATCACGCTTCAGCTAGAGCTTTCCATTCACGTGTGTTTAATGGGGTCACTGTGGGGCTTGGATTTGAATGTTTCAACATTGTGATCTTGTACTCTCTGTTGTTTGTTCTCAGATAGGCTCGGAACTCTGCAGACCAGGCTGGCCTCAAACTCACAGTGTTCTCCCACCTCTGGCTCTTAAGTGTTGGGACTAAAGGCCTGACCTACTCATCCTATCTTCTCTATAACAACTCCCACTTATCTCCTCTCCTCCCACTGATCCCTGGCAAACATTCACATATTAGTCATATCTTTGATAAATTTTAAGCATGTTGTAGAAACAGAACCACCCAGTATATAGCTTCTATATAATATGCAGTATATTACAGTATATATAAAATACAGCATATTACAGTATATAACTTCTCTATAATCTATAGTATATTGCAGTATATAACTTCTATATAATATACAGTATATTACAGTACATAACTTCTATATAACATACAGTATATTAGAGTATACAATTTCCATATAAAATACAGTATATTACAGTATATAACTTCTTTATAATATATAATATATTACAGTATATAACTTCTATATAATATACAATATATTACAGTACATAACTTCTATATAATATATAGTATTTCACAGTATATAACTTCCATATAGTATACAGTATATTAGAGTATATGAATTATCTATGGTATGCAGTATATTAGAGTATATAACTTTTCTATAATTCATAGCAAATTAGAGTATATAACCTATATATAATATGCAGTATATTACAATATATAGCCTTTATATAATATATAGTACATTACAGTATAGCTTCTATACAATATACAGTATATTATAGTATATAACTCCTATATAGTATATTACAGTATGTAACATCTATATGATATCCAGTATATTACAACATATAGCCTCTATATAATATAGAGTATGTTACAATATGTAACATTCCCCCTCTGAACAATAATTTCCAGATTGCCGTATATATCATTTTTTATCGCTATAGTATTCTGTGGGGTGGACGTATCACAGATTTTTAGTCACTGACCTGGAGAAGGAACTCTGTTTCCAGTCTGATGCCCTTATGAGTGGAGCTGGAGTGAGCAGTGCAGGCTTTCCTGTGGATTTTAGTTTTGAATCATCTGGAGCAGATGCCTGGAGAGTGGCTTCTGGGCTATGGACTGGCTTCATGTTTAGTTATTAAAGATTGACCTCATTTTTAATTACAGGCAAGTGTGTGTGTGTGTGTGTGTGTGTGTGTGTGTGGAGAGAGAGAGGGAGGGAGGGAGGGAGAGAGGGAGAGAGAGACTATGTGCACTAAAGTGCAGTGTCTGTGGGGGCCAGAAGAGGGCGCCATACTCCCTGGAGCTGGATTTACAGGCAACTATGAGGGTAATGTGGCTACTGAGAACTCAGGTCTTCTGGAAGAGCAGCCAGTGCTCTTTAACTACTGAGCACACCCCCCTCCTAGTCTCCCACCTTAAAAAGAAACTGATAATTATCTCCAGAGTGGCTTTGCCACCCCCTGAGATATGGATGTTACCCCCTTCTCTGCGTGGCCACCAGTTTGCTGCAGTTCTCGACGTGGCTGTCTGTTGGGGGTTTTGTGACGTCACGCTGCAGTTCCTTGTTTCATTCAGTTACTATGATAAGCATCACTACCAAAATCAATGCGAGGAGGAAGATTTTGTTTTGTTCCCCTCCCCCTTACCACTGTAGGTCCCAGCCCGTCACTGAGGGAAGTCAGGACAGGAACTCAAGGCAGGAACCTGGAGTGGAAACCACGGAGGAACAATGCTTATTGCCTCTCTCTCTCGTTCATATTCAGTTACATTTCTTCTACAGCCCAGGACCACCTGATCTCACCCACAGTGGACTGAGCCCTCCAACGCAAACCAGCAGTCCAGGCAGTCCCCCATGGACACACACACAGGCCAGGCTGATGGAGGCAATTCTTCAATTGAAGGTCCCTCTTCCCAGGTGTGTCTACTTGACAACCAAGATTAGCATCACAAAGACAAGGCTTGGGCTCTGAGCGTGGGAAGGGAGTGAGACTGCAGCAAATGAGAAAGCATCCCATGTTCATGGACAGGAAGAGGTGGTGGTGTTTAGATGGCCATGTTTTCCAGGCTGATCTGCAGACACAAGGTCCCTCTTGGCACCCGGATGGCTTCATCCTACAGTTCACAAATTCCACAGGGAACCAGAACAGCCCAGACAGTATGGAACAGAACAGAGAGGGCTCAGATGTCTGCTGAGCCATGCTAACCAGGACAGTGTGTTCTTGGCATTAGGAGGTGTATTAGTCACTAGGATAGAATTTAGAGTTCAGAAATAAGCCTCACGTTTATAATGAGTTGACTTTTGACACACGACGATTTCTCATGGTACTGGGACTAGTGGATGTTCACATTCAAAAGCCCTAAACTTCACCATATGCAAAATTAATTCAGGATGGACCAAAGGCTTGTGTGAAGAGTCTAAATTATCAAGCTGAGAGAAATCTTCACAGACTTGCATTAAGTTAGTTTTTTTAGGTATAAGGCTAAAAGCACAGCCAATAAAATAAAAATAGGTTAATTGGCCTCCCCCAGAATCATTTGCCTTCTGTGCTCTCTGGAGTGAATATCTCTTCATGTCTAGTTTGATTTTTTTTCCTAATCATTTTCTCATCTCTTCTCCCCGTTCCCTCTCTCCCTCCCGCTTCTCCTTCTTTGAGACAGGGTCTAACGAATCTCAGGCTACCTCCACCTGGCTGTGTAACTGAGGGTGATGTTGGTCGTCTCATCCTCCTGCCTCTGCCTCCCAAATGCTGAGATTACAAGCCATGCTTCACCACACGCCATTCATGTCGTGCTGAGGACTGAACACGGGCTCTGTGTGTGCTAGAGGAGCATTCTCCAAACCGAGATCCACCCCAGCCCTAATGTGATGCTTTCTTGTTTCTCTCTGAGTTTCCTTTATGTGTTTCCGCTGCTGTTATTTGTTGCCTTTGTAGCTGCAAATGTTTTCCTCTCGTCTATATAGGGCTTGTCTTTTCTTCTTTGTAACAGGACCTGTCACGGAGCAGAGCTTTCTGGAGGAATAATTGATATTTTTATCATGCTCTTTCGATCCATGCTCAAGGTATGTATGCCTATCTTTGGTTTAGAATTTCTTTCGATGGTTTTTTTGTTTGTTGGGGGCGGGGTTAAGTCATGTATGCACGATATTTTTATATCTGCATCTAAGTATTTAATTTGGGGTGGAGGGGCTTGTGGCTGTTACAGCATTTTAAACATTCCTGTTCTTATGTTTGATATGAGTAGGTAGAAATCAATAGGTTAATGGCTTCTCATCCAGTGTTCTGCAGCTTTTTAAACTCATGCTTCTGAATCTCTGTGAATTCTTTAGAATTTTCTGCGTCATATGCAAGGGGGATTTTTTTCTTCCTTTCCTACCTCCTCACCCTGGCTCCAGCACTCAGTACTACCCTGAACAGCACAGATGGGTGCAGGCATTTCGCCGTGCTTCTGGAGTCATTTGCTTTTGATTTTTTGAACGTTTTTTTTAAGAGTAGCTTCAGGTTCCTAACACCACCAGTGGCCCTCCCCCCTAAACACACCTAGCGTCTCCAATTCCAACATTCCACTGGAGCCACGTTCACCCACAGTCAGTGACCCATGTTCACCCCACGGTCAGTGACCCACGTTCACAGGTCATCATCATCAGGCTTCTGGGTTTTCCAGAGGCTCGGCACACTTCCTGCTCTGTATCCTGTGGGTTTGGACACAGGTGTAGTGATAGGGACCCAACCTTACAGCACCATGTGCGGCTACTCCAGTACTCAGAGCAGCAGGACAGCCACGCCCAGCCTCCCAAACCTTATCCTGCTGTTGTTGCCCTCACCATGCGACCCAGGCTGCACCCACTCAGAACAGGGTCTGCCCGGCCCTGTTTTCTCTTTGGGATCTCAAACAAACCTTGAGGGGTTCAGGATGGACCTGTGACCCCGCCCTCTACCCCTTGTCTGAGCCCCCAGATTCTGGTGCTCTTTCCCCCTCAGCCCAGAGCGAATTAAACCGCTCCAGTTCTCAGTGTGTGTTCGAAACATCAAAACCAAGTGCAATCAGGAGAACAGTTCATTTGACTTCTCCTTTATTAAAACTAAGGACGTCATTATAAAAACCACTATATAGAAAGACAAACGCAGCGAGACAGCATCGGTGTAAACACGCCGCTAATACATCAAATTCGGAAGGGGGACGATTATCTGATATCAGGTTTTTGTTTTTTGTTCTTATTTTGGTTTTCCCGGTCATGGGCTCTGAGAGAGGCTCCCCCATGCCTTCTCCATATGAGCCTGGCGCTTCTAGCATAGAGATGCCTTCCTGCCCCACCCCGCCTACCTGGCTTTGTCCCACTGACCCAGGGAGAAACAAGTCCATTGTAGGGAGGTCCCTTGCCCCTCTAGGGTGGCTGGGCTCTCACCCTGCAGCTTTGTTGGTTAGTGCACGTTGCCCATACGCTCACCTGTGGATATGAGATGGGGACATAGCCCCCTCGCTTGAACACAGACTGTGGGGAGAAACAGGAAGAGACTGGGTGTGAGAAACAGAGATGCAAGCCTGAGAGTCAACCCTAGTCAAGTACCGGCTGTGACCAAATGGGAGGCCATGGTGGCCCTGTGACTCCAGCTGCTGGTCCCATGTTTAAGGTTGGCGCTGGCAAGGGGACTCTGTATGTTTTGGAGGGTGGTGTTAGTTTGTCAAGGGTAAACGGGTCAGGGTTTTGACATAAAGATAGGAGTGTTAACCACTGAGTGACTGACTAATGGTTAGCCCACTCAATCACCAAGCATTTCTAGCACCGGCTACCCTGGCAGGAATTTGGACCGGAAACAGGGTGGGGCGGGACAGGCAATGCCACTTCCAAGGTCACTTTTGTGGGAGGGATAGATAAACGTTCTGTGTTTATTTTGTGAACAGGAGTGTTTCTGTTAGGCACGGCAAGTCAGGTCCGTCGCAGTGGACCCCAGCCTCTCATGGGGCCACTCCATGTTCTCTGATGGAACCCGTCTAGACACGGGAGGGACTTCCGGTGGACACTGGCGACAGAGAGTGGCAGGGGCTACTCAGCAAGTGTCTGCCGAACAGCTGAGGATTTGTGCAGCATGTGGGTGGTACAAGTCCCTGTGCTGACGGCCTCAGCTGCCAATCTTCCCAACCACAGCCCAGGAAACGCAGGCACATTGTTGAGGCTACAGAAGGGATAGGAAACCATGGCGGCACCCGACACACAGTAGGCATAAAGGCTCGTTTTCTAGAGGGTACGGGGCGCCACCTTGGCCCTGTGACATCATCTCCTCATGGTCGGTCCTCTGACAAGGGAGACGTTGGCACACGCGTGGTGAGCTGTGTGACTCAGTCTGAGGTCGCTGCTGCCCTGACAGAGCTTCCTGGAAGATGCCGTGCTGGCTCCCTGCCCTTCACACACACAAGAAATGCCCTGGGAGGCCACTCAGATAGTCACCTGTGCCCAAACGCCTGGGGAATCTCATGTTTACCTCCCAAGCAATTCCTGTTAGTGGGAACCAAGCAGCCAGATGGAAAAATTAAACAAGCCAATAAGAAATGTCTGGAAGCCCGAGGCTCTGGATCCTCTCACAAGCTCTTGCAGAGCTGGGGACCAGCTGTAAGGAGTTGTTCAGAAGACAACGGCTGGGATACCAAGTGGGGCTTGCCCTCCTGGTGTGGACAGGGGTGGGGACTGGTGGCAGTCAACACAGGGCACAGCCACATCATATCCTGCTGTTTGCAAGGACCTGGGGAGGGGCACTGGACAGGACGACTGAGAACCAGCTCTCGACTGAAGGCCACCTTAACCACCATCCCTGGCTTGTTTTCCTGGTACATCAAACCCTTCTTTCTACCTTGGGGCTAAAGATGCCTGATGGGTTTTTGGATAACCTAGAAAGTGGCGCACAACTGGACACATCACTGTTTGTCTGCAGTCTCAGAGTTTTCAATGAACTAGATCAACATCATGTGTGTGCATGTGTGCATTGGTTCATATGTAGGTGTATATGTTTATATGTGAGTGTATCTGTGAACACGTGTGAATATGTGCACGTGGCATACATGGGTGGGTATGCATACATGGGACTCTATATCTGTTCTCTTCTATAGTATGTATGATTTCACAGGTGTTTATTACTGAGCATGTAAACATGTGTAAATTACACTCACACGTGTGAGTATACGTGTGCACATATGGATATATGCATATTCGTATAGATGTGAATGTGCATATGTGTGGACACACGAACATGCACAAGTTATGTTTATGTGTATGAGTGCATGCATACATATTGTGTAAACGTGTGTGCTCATGGGTATGCACATGTGTGTGTGTGTGTGCGTGTGTATGTGTGTGCGCGCATGCACTCCTGTTTGGATTAAGTGCTGTTGCACACTGGCGACAGTCACCATCAGATGCTTGGCCACTCCCACAAGGGATGAGCAAGACATTTCCCTGGTGACTACAGCCAGCTAGGGAGGAGCTCTGAATGGAGGCCCCAGAACGCAGATGACAGGGCATAAAACTGCTTACTAAGGACATACAGTCCCCGTGGGAAAAGGTCAGACAGACACAAGGATGTCCCATGACCCTCCTTGAGCACACAGTGTCACCAGCTTCTCTGCTTCCTGTAGCTACTTGTTGCTACTAGAGTGTACTGTGGCCTGAGGCTTACAGAAAAAAGGCGGGGGTGGGGGACACAGGCAACTGGAGGAGGCAGAGACAGCTCAATAAATATTCAGGAACTTGTCTCTACTCTGTGTCTTTTCAGGACAGGCTACTAACTGACACATCTGCCAGCCACAGACACCCTGGGCAGGGGGCAGATTCTCATCGTGGCCTCTGGGGCCTTGCCTCCCACTCCAGGGCTCACAACCCCATGGACACAGCTCTTGTGTTCAGTAGCTTTGTGAAGTGGTGTGGGGTAAGACCCTGCCCTCTAACCCTGGCTTTCCAAGTGAGGAAAGGAGGCTTGGAGAGGCTAGGTGGGTAAGCCAGTGTCACCTAGCTGGGAAGGAGCAGGGTGCCCAGGGCTGCAAAGTTGAAGCCTATGCTGACCTCTGGCAATCAGGGTATTCCTGTGTCCTGGACAGTGTCTAGACTCTTAGCCCCAGACACATATCTGAGCAATATCATAAATGAGAGATGCAGACGTACATAGGTGAGAGATTCAGGCCATCAACCAGAATCTTCGTGGGGACCTTCAGCTATTCCCTAAGAGACTCCTGATGGAGAACCCCACTGCCACCCAGTACCCTACTGTCTGCATGGCCATGGCCTCCTGTGTCTGAGGAAGGATGCTTAGTAGCCCTGAGGCCTGTGCAAGTAACTGCCAGAGTGTCACTCAGAGCCACCCAAAGCCAGAAGTCCCCTCAACATCCGGTCTGACTCCTTCCTGTTACTACTAGGGAAACTGAGGCAGGAGGGCCCCAGGTCTTGCCTGTGATCTCTTTGTTCAGGTGACATCAGGATCTGTGCAGTTTAGGGGAGGATCTCCTTTCCTGCAGGGGGCCTGCAGGTGTGGGCTGGTCCAGCTGGTCCACTGCTAACAACCCTTAGGGTAATGGTTGCTCTACACCCTAGGATGCTTCAGCATGCGGGAGAGGGTCCATGCCCATCTTTAATCAAGATCCAAGCATAAACTTTCCAGGCTATGTGTGGGGCATAGCAGTGCATCTCAGGGAAACAGGCTAGGTGAAGAGAAAGAGGCCTTTGACCCAGTAGGCCTCTAGAGTCAACAGAGTGACCACTTCCATATCCACAAATGGGACCATCTCTCCCTCTTGTAGGGCTGAGATCATGAACAGCCAGCCGGAACAGAAAGAGCTTTGTGCTCTAACACACAATACTTTCAATGAAGAAGCACTGTGTGTGTACACCATTATGGCAAACACAGAAATCTGCATATAAAACCATCCCTTTACCTCTGCCGCGCTTTGAGTCCTGGCCACCCTAGCTTGTCTGCGTCTAGGAACCTGACAGGCATGTGGCTCCCACGGCCCCCTCTTTGGCTCCTCTTCTCTAGATACCATTGCTGGTCTTGTGTGTCATTTGGACCCGGGCTTAAAGATTCCCCAACCATCCAAACCTCCAACATAGTCTCCACAATGTGATCCCCGTGGGCACCTCCACCCTGGCTCTTCCTTCTTGCTGTCCCTTGCTCACTGTCCCCTAGAGTGTGTGGCAAGCAGGTGGCCCACCCATGTGGGGCTATCGCTGGTCAAGTGAGGCTCAGCTTCAAGCAGGGTGGGTGATGGGGCTGAGGGCAGGGACATTTGACCTCATTGATAGGGGTGGGGTGGCCACGTCTACATTGACAACGCGCCCTCTGGAGAGTTCCAGAGTCACTTCAGGGGGATGTCTTTTCTTCCGTGTGCCCGAGGGCAGTGGGTTTGAGGCGGTGATGGTGAACTCCGTGGGCAGATGTTACGGGTACCCAGACTTACTCGGAAAACCCCCATTTTAAGTGGACAGACTCATAGAACCCTCTGCTCCGGGTTTCCTTAGGAACCTTCACCCTGCCTGTGTGGTTTTTTTCCCCTTTTAAAGGTGCAGCACCTCAGGGCAGGACCTGGCATCCCTCACTTCTGGATCTTACCATTGCCTGGTGCATGGCAGGCGTGTGGCTAGTGTGAGCTTGTGGGGGAGGCTCAGGCAGTGATGGCGGAGGACCTGGGTGGTGGGTGTGCTGCACTCCTGTGAAAATGTCAGGTGTGTGCTCCAGTGACCACCGTGGGGGACCTGGGTTATGGGGCCTGTTACACCCTGGGAATCAAAACCTGGACTTGGGTTCCTGTCACCTGGGGGCCAAACTGTGGAGCTGGCCCATATGACTGTGGCACCCTTCCGCAAGCTACACTGTTTCCAGAGGTGTTACACGCCCACCTCCCAGGAACACAGCCAAACCTAGGCTGCCCAAAGCCAGCTGACATGTTTCCTTAGTACTGCTGCTGTGGGAACAGATTCCACCAGAACCCATCCTTAATGGTATGCTCCAGTTTCCGCTGCCTATGGCACGGGAAGGCTGGGCCCTGTGCCTGTTCCCTCCCCCAGCTCACAGCTGCTGACCACGGCAAGAGGCCTGAGCCTCAGACAAGGGCACGGCCAAGACTCTTCAGTCACACGGTGACATGTGCCCATCAGAGAAACTACAGCCAGTGGCGACGGGGCTCGATTAAACACTAGCTGAACGAACATATAGAAAGAACACCCTGATTACACACGTGCGCGCACACACTCACAGTCGATATTCCGACACGGATAGGCCTAAGGGGGCCACTATTGGGGGGAGTGGAGAAAGGGGGAACGTCAGTGTTTGGACCATGGTACAACTCACGGCCACAAATCCTTCTGGCTGGGGTCA